GAGAGAGAGAGAGAGAGAGAGAGAGAGAGAGAGAGAGAAGGAGGGAGGGAGAACCTCTTTGTTCTTCCCAGCGCAATCACACAGAACAAACCTGCTTTCCATCGCCTTTGTGTCTTCAGTTGGGTTATTGAGGATGGGTGGTGAAGCCTGGCTTGTTAGGGATGCCAAGGCTGTCAGTCCCTGACCCTAAAAGCTCCAGTAACATTTAAGTGCATCAATCTGGCTCTACTCGATTGGTTACTTCTGTTCTATGGCAGTTCATCCCGGTGTGGTTCTGTTACTCTGGAATCCAAGGGGACTAAAGAGGACGAGGTGACAAGGAGGGTAGCATGTCTTGCTGAGACATGACAATGGGGTGATTCTGGGTTGATTGACAGTGTCTATCTGTCACAGACAAACAGAACCTGTTTCTTCAGTGTGCCCATCAGTTTATCCTGTTTTTCCCTCCAGGGAGACAGTGTAAGGTTTCAATGAGGTCCTTTTTGCAAAGTATGTGTCGTTTATATCCTAGCATCAGATGACAGAAGACATATCAATACATGATACTGGAGAGGTGATTTGGTGAAACCTGTGGTCTAGGTACAATAAAGATGATCTTATAGAACAAGGTGCCCATTCAAGAGTCAACTAGTCACTATCATGCCTCTCCATGGCATTTTTTTTGAATCCTCTGAATGGCATTACCCAGGTCAGCTAGTGTGACAGCGTGGAACAGATCAGATCTGAGAGTAGTGACAAGATACAAAAGTCTAGCAAAGACTACGGGAACCCTAAGATGGCACAGCGGACAATCTCGAGGGTGCCTTGATAAAGAGATTATGTGTACCTTGGGTTTCAAGGAAGTCAGTCCTAACAGGACTCTGTGTAGGACATCCCTGTGTCCTGCTGTGAGGAGGGGAGAGGTGGGTGAGACTGTGGCAGCAAGGAGTAGTTGGAGTAGAGCAGTTCCTTAGTGATGGAGCAGGAAGGACCACACTTGTAACCTATCTGAAGAGAGGGTGGCACACCTTCCTTCAGCTCATGGCTCTTTTTTTTTTTTTTTCTGCTCCCTTCCAGGTATCAGCGAAGTGGGGTGCTCCAGCAGGATGTTCCGCAGTGTGAGTCAGGAGAGCTAACCGTGTCACACAAGTAGTGATTTGGGTACCCCAGAATTTGTTTTCGTTTCTTACAAACAGTGTGATCGCCATCAGGCAGAAGTTAATGCGGGATAGATTGGAGAACAGCAGTGTCATCCATTTACAGCAAAAGTAATGGGGGTCAGTCTCCGCTAGGGCTCACCTCCCTTGCCCATTGTGTCTCCCACACAATGGTTCAGTTTTCACAGCTCTGGTTCTACTCATTTCTAAGCACCCAGATGGTCTCCTTTGCCAAAAGCATGATGGAACTGAATGTAGGCAGAGTACCGAGGCCATGATTATTCATGTAGCCCCTTTCACTGTAGAACACACCATCACCATAACGAGTCTGAGCTCTGAGCCATAGTTACTCATGTTTATATCCCAGTAAAGACATTGATTTCTTGAAAGGCAGAATCATTAAAAAATGTTTTTATTTCTTTATTTATATGTCAGGGTAAGTATATGGAGATGAGTGTGTGGGATTCAGCTCTCTCCTTCCATCATGTGGGTCCTAGGAATTGAACTCAGGTCATTCATCTTGGTAGCAAATCGCCTTTACCCACTGAGTCATCTAGACAGTCCACAGTCATCATTTTACATCAACACGTGAGATCAAAGTTTTGCCTTGCACTAGTGAGTCAGAACACAGAAGCACTTTGCCATGTCTGCCTGTGTGTTTGACCTTGGACTTGGGGACACACCTAACATTTAGCAATCTCCTAGAATCAAGCTCCACCTGACTGAAGACATTTGTGTCCCTTGTTATGAGAGTGTGCTGCCATCAATCATTACTACTTACAATCAATTTGAAAGTGAGAAACAGAGCTTGCCTCTTGACATCAGGAGCTGATCTGGCCTCTCAGTAAGGCTTGCTACTCACATACCATCTCCATCAGGCAACTATGTGACTCTGATGGATGCAGACAAGTGTCAGAAAACTTCATAGCCATGTCTGCACATGGACAAAACCATGAGCATTGTCCAAACCCCAATGAGCAAAGGTCCCTCCATCTGGGCTACTGTACGTGACTGCTGGTCCCTACTAACTACTTAAGCCTTCTCTCATTCCACACAGCAGTTATTAAGGAACTGTGTTAGTCAGGTTGAGTTGTAATAACAAAATACACAGTCTCACAAATGTAGGCAACAGACATATTCTAACACTTCTGAGGTACGAGAGATTAAGGAGCTTGCTGTTGTGTGTGACTTTTCCCGGGGAGTTGTGACACAATATCTACTTATCTCATTAAGTAGATGAAAGAGCTGACAGATCACAGTAATAGTTCAACCAGAGTCCAACTTTTCATCCAATGAGTTTATTTGGGTTCCTTACATAAGTGTGGGAGAGGAATTACTAACAGGGTCTGGGAGGACTCAAAGGCAGCTTCCCTACTAAAAAGCTGAGCCCAGTGTGGGTGACTACCCACAGGAGCTCCATCCCGGGAGCTTGCTGCAGGACATGCAGGCAGCTTATCTGGTCTAAGAGTCTCTTCCCTCAGCCATAGCTTGCTGCTTTTATAATCTTGAGAGGGTCCTGGAGATCTTGATGATTTCCCTTTCCAAGACAGACATGTGATCTTTGTTCACTTCTCGAGTCTCTGGTGCCTCCAGGAGGGAGTATTTGGAGGAAATGACTATATGGCACCCACTTCTTGAGTTTCTGTGAGGGTCCCATCCCTGGCTTGCATACAGCTACCTTCTCTGTGATCTCATGGGCTCTGGATTGGATGTATTTATCTTTAATTGCATGGACACATGTTAATTTTAGAAAGTAATGGGGGAACGTTCCAATACATATTCAAGTAAACCATGCTCGAATGAGCATTGTAATGAACCACACTTAATGCCACTTCACTCCAGTGCTTCGGGTGCCCATCCTTCAAACAGGAGCATTCAGGAGTCATGTTGATTGGATGAAACGAGACCTTAAAAGCTGACCAGGGAAGAAGATTGAGAGTTGAGAATCTCAAAACTGTGGCTACAGACACATGAGACCAGAAGACAGATATGAGAGTGTGAGAGACAGGAGGGTAACCTGAGAGCAGAGGGTGGGGGTGAGAACAGGGGCACCTAAATGATGTTGATTGCACCGTGCACTGACTTAAAAAATAATAATGAGAAACATAACAACCTGCCAATCTTATGCCCCAGGGTGTGTGTGGGATCTACCAGTTTTGTTTTGCTCAGTATTCATGTTGTCATATGACCTTGTTTGGTTTTCTTAATTTTTGGGGGGCGTGGGTGGGTTTCAAGACAGGGTTTCTTTGTATAGCTTTTGTGCCTTTCCTGGAACTCACTTGGGAGCCCAGGCTGGCCTCAAACTCACAGAGATCCGCCTGGCTCTGCTTCCCAAGTGCTGGGATTAAAGGCGTGCGCCACCACTGCCCGGCGGTTTTCTTTCTTTCTTTCTTTCTTTTTTTTTTTTGGTTTTTCGAGACAGAGTTTCTCTGTGTAGCTTTGCGCCTTTCCTGGAGCTCACTTGGTAGCGCAGGCTGGCCTCAAACTCACAGAGATCCGCCTGGCTCTGCTTCCCAAGTGCTGGGATTAAAGGCGTGCGCCACCACTGCCCGGCGGTTTTCTTAAGTATTTATTTTTCATTTTTACATGTTGGGTGTTTTGCCTTCATATATGTCAGTGTATTGTTATTTTCAGTACCGGCGGAGGCCAGAAGAGGGCATCCTGGGACTGGAGGTACAGGTAGCTGTCAGCAATCATGTATATTCTGGGGATGGACTTCAGGTTCTCCTAACTACTTCTTAATATTTGTATTTATACCCATGCACATGTACTCTCAACCTTGGTCAGAGAAGTTTCTTTTGCAGTAGGTAATGGTCAATACTGAGAATCATAATGGTCAAAGTGCTGAGAACAAGTGACTGTGAGTCCCCAGCTGCAGATGGGTCACCTGTGTTAACCTCCCCCATCAAAGCTCAAGGAACACACTGGAAGAGTAAGTAGAAAGAATGTAAGAGCCAGAGGTTATGGAGGACATCCATGAAAGGCTGTTTTCTGGATGTGACATGGCTGGTGCCCACATCAACTCACAGCATCTGTGATTGCCTCCACAAGACCTGGGTAAGCTCAAATCAGTCAAAATTCCACTGTGTGGGGGTGTAGGGTTTCCTGAGGCTACACCCAGGCTGAGGAGATATTGGCAGCTGGTGTCTCCTGCGGAGGAACAGTTCCTTTCCTCTGGGGACATGGCCTCAGGTATATTGCTCATGCCCTAGTGAATGGCCCCACACTCATTCATACATGGTCAGCAGTGACAGGACTCAGGGTATATTAATAACAGTAATAGCAATGGAGGACCTCATATTGGCACGAACCAAAAAATTAATAATTTTTTTTTCCAATGATGTACCAGTACTATTGACACAAGAGTGACCTCAGGTTGACAGGAATCAAAGGATTAATAACTGTTTTTATGACCCACTGATTATAACCATGATCCCTTGTATGACCACAGGTTCAGAACCATCTATTGGAGCCTAGTGACTCACCATTTGGCACATGAAAGACCATGACTGTCCCTTCCCTGGATTCTACCAGAAGCTAATTCAGTAGGGAGAGAGGAAGCCCAGTGAGCTCACTAGTACCCATGGTTGGCTGTTGACAGGCTGAGCTGTACCCAGGCAACTGAAGTAAGACTGAGCTTGCCAACAACCCAATATCTCCAGAATGCTTCCTGATCCTCAGAGGGGGTGGTACAAATGTCCTGTTTACAGCCCAGCTCTCAGCCATCATCTCAGTTAGTGACTGCACAGACATTGGAGCCTACCTGGGCACCACTTTGTTGCCTAAGAGAAATTTGGTTTTCTTGAGTATCTTCTCCGTGAAAATGTCTTTCTGCTGCAAAGGAGAAAACAAAAATGAAGAATCAGAGAAGTGAATGAACAAAACAGCCAGAGGGTTTGTTAGTGATAAGAACAGGGGGCAGGGGTTTTCATAAAGGGAGGCGCACCTGCAGAACCCCCTTTCCCATTTTCACATACAACCCTATGTACAGACAGGGAGAGGATGCTTACCTGGCACAGTCCCCAGAGATGGGGGATGAGCTGCAACGGGATCTCTCCCCTTGAAGTTTCAGCTTGATAAGAAATTTCTGCTGGGGGCCAAAGGACTCTGAACAACAGAGTTCAAAACAGGGCCGGTAGATGCAGCCAGGGCCACAAAGGCGGGTCTGATTAAAAGACAGGATGTTGTCATCCTCACAGCACTGCTCCGAGGGGTTGTAGATCCTCTCCCCACACCTGGGTACTGGCTGGCACAGCCATAAGCCATGATCTGAGAGAGTCAGGAATGTGTGAGCTACTGCAGTTTCTGAGTTTGCGAACAGGATTACAGGAATAAGAATGATGCCTGAGAAACGTAAGAGGGAACAAATTAGAATGTTGCCACAGCTGGTGTGGGTCAGAGACAAATAAGTGATCCCTTTCATCTTGTCCCTGATTATGACTCAGAGTGGAGTTTGCAACTGACTCTGGATGTGTTTTCTCTGTCTGGGCTGACACATGAGGAATGCAGGAGGCTAGCAAGGGGGTATTTCTGAAGTTTGCAAATGGAAAGAAAGATTACACTTGGAGATACCAGGTGGGTGGTTATGAGGGAGACCCTGGAGAATGAACACAGAAACAGGGTTAATTTGAAGTTTAGAGGTGCATTAGTGCTGCAATAACATCCAGACCTGACTTTGGCTGGACTCCCCTTCAGGAAGATTCCACACACCATGATTCTGATCAGGCTGCAGAGTAGTAGATGACAGAAGGACAGCAGAAGTGTGTTGGGGATATCTTTCTGTATGCTCTGAATGTGTTGCTCTGATTGATTGATAAATAAAATGCTGATTGGCCATAGTATAGGCAGGATAAGCAGGGAGGAGAATTCTGGGAATAGGAAGGCAGAGTCAGGAGTTGCCAGTCAGAGAAGGAAGAAGCATGATGTGAAAGTACCAGTAAGCCACAAGCTACATGGCAACTTACAGATTGATAGAAATGGGTTAATTTAAGATATAAGAACTGGATAGCAAGGAGCCTGCCATGGCCAAACAGTTTATAAGTAATATAAGTCTCTGTGTGTTTACTCGGGTCTGAGCGGCTGCAGGCCCACACGGGACTGAGAAAACTCCAGCTACAGAAGTGGGTTCATGACTGGAGCTGCTGCCTCTGAAGACTGACAATAGATGACAGCCTCAAGGTAGACTGAGCAGTGTATAGAAAGAACCCATGAAAGTTCCAGAAAGAGATTCTTGGTTGGGTATCAAGAGACAGCTGGTGTTTGGTGGTCCTTTCTGAGTAGGTGAGGGAGAGACTATGGAGTATTTTCCTACTGGAGATTCTGTTAGCAGCTTTCTTGATAAGGTTGCAGCAGAATCATGTTTAAAATGTTTTTTTTTACTTTAGTATTGTTATTATTATTATTACTGCTATTCTTGTGTGTGATACACACACACACACACACACACACACACACACACTGAGAGACAGACAGACAGACAGAGACAGAGACAGAGAGAAGAAGAAGAGGCGTGAGAATGATGTTATTCAAGGAGGTCAGAAGACCTTGTGGAACCAGCTCTTTCCACCTCTACATGGGTTTTAGTAATTGACTTCAGGTCATCAGGCTTTCTGGTAATCACTTTTATGCGTTGAGTCATCTCAGCAGCCCCATGCTAAATAAAGAATAGAAAACAAAACAAACAAAAACAACCTTTCTGGGTGCCCATTCACAGGTGTCATTGTGTGTGTGAGCATGCCGGGGATGGCATGTAGGGTTAGAAGGATGATCTCTTGTGTCAGCCTTGGTTTCTTATCTTGTTTAAGACAGGATCTCTTGTTCCCTGCTGTGCATGCCAGGCTGCTTGCTCTCTAGTTTCTAGGAGAGTCTCTTGGTCTAGGAGAGTTCCTTGGGAACCCCGAGTTTATATGGTTTTTGGGTATTTTAATTCAGGCATTCATACACACAGGAAATATTTTATCCACTGACCTATCTCCAGTCCCAGTGTCACACTTAAAATTCCAGAGTGGAGTTTTGTTGAATCTGTACCTGAATTAGAGGCATGTTGGTAAGCTGACTGATGTTCAGGGTTTTCCAGTCCCACTCTTACAAGGAGCCCTGCAACCTCTGCTACGCTCTGAGGTGGTAGGATCTGTTCTCAGCAATGGCACGAAATGGCTTACATGATGTTAAAGAACATACAAATATCAGTAGTCAAAGTATTTGATTTTCTGTTGGCAGAACAAACTGTCAGAGGCTTGGTACTTTTAACAAGACAGTGAATTGTGGTTCCTGGCTATAAAGGCTGGAAAGTCACAGACTACACAGCAGCCTTTGGACAGGACTGTGTGCCTCCTCATCTCTGTGTGAAGGAAGGCCCAGTAGATATATTGGAAAGATAGAGTATGAGCAGTGTCCTGATACTTTCCAAGATGCTGTCACCTACAAGGTGCAGATGGAAGCTTCCTCACTGTTGTCATGTACTGACATCACTTCATTTAGGACAGCTCTGCCCCCTGCTCTAAAACAGTCTCTAGGTGATGCTCTGACTCCAGTATTGATGAATTAAGATTTTATGACATAAACATTTGGGGACAAATGCAAAACCATTGCAGTAGTAAAAAATCATTGGTGTCTATTAACCCATATCAGATTTAGGTGACCTGTAAGCATCTGTCCCTATGTGGGTAGAGAGAAAAATTAGGAGATTTGAGTACTTGCTTTGCAAGCAGGAACACCTGAATTTAAATTCCCAGAACCTATGCAAAAACCCAGGCATGACTCTGCACATCTGTAACCCCAAGACTGGGAGCTGTGACAGGAAGATCTAAAGAGCTTGCTGGCCACCTAAAATATTCATAACAGTGAGCTTCAGATTCAGTTAAAGACCTTGTCTCAAGGCAGTAAGATGGAAGGCAACATAAGACACCCAGCATCTTGTTGTCACTCTGTGTTAACTCACATGGATATTCACATTCATCCAACTCAAAAGCATGCAACACACACACACACACACACACACACACACACACACACACACACACACCAAACCCTAGCAATAACAATAATCAACAACTGTCAAAAAATCTAGGTGAAGTCAGATCTGGCCATGAGTGTTTCAGGTGATATGGCTGTCGAATGAGAGATCCGATAGAAGAGAGTAAGGGGAGTGAGGGAAAGACAGAGATATGACAGGGGCTATCACATGGTTGCCTAGAGGTGGAATTAAGGGGACAAATACAACCAGACTCTGTGTCTGCTCTCTCTCCCTCAAGCCTGCACTATAGTAGGACACACACACCTCTGGTCTAGTACCATTAACCTCATGACCTTCTGATTGTGAGAGGCCCAGGACTCCAGGACACAGTGCTGGAAGCACAGCTGAGATGTGCAGCTGGGGTCATAGAGATGAGTGCTACTCAATGGTAGAGGTGGCCTCCTCCTCACAGCACTGCTTCTAGGGTGTAGCTCTGCTGCCCCACCCCAGGTACTCTTGCCAATTAACAGGCCGATATCCCGAGGAGTCCCGGCCAGGTACACAAGTCCTCCCAACAGCCACAATGCTCCCCCTTCTCACTCCTCACTGAACCTGTTCTTACAAGTGACTCCTTCCAAGACTGAGCACAAAAGTAAAAAAATGAGAAACAGAAAGGGAGTGAGACTGATGCTGGAGGAGCCACCAGGTGGCCGCAATCAGGGCCAAAAGATCATGCCTCTGGGATCCTTTTGTTGCCTCTCTAGACTAACCCTGAGAGTGTCTGAGGTTGACAGGAAACTTGTGAGGAGGGTCTGGGAAGAAGGTGAGCTCTGAAAACTGCAGGCAGAGTCATTGAACTGTAACTGGAGATGCAAGCAAGGATGATGAGATAGAAATCAAGACTAAAGTAGGGAAGGGAGGATTACATAAATTCAGAATAGCTGGGCATGGTGGCTCATGTCTTTAATCCCAATACTGGGTGTGGGGGCTGAGGTAGGAAGATCTCTGTAGAAAATTCCAGGACAGCCAGGCCTATATGGAGATATTGTCTCAGATATTGACAGATACATAGGTAGATAGGTAGATAGATAGATAGATAGATAGATAGATAGATAGATAGATAGATAGATAGATAGATAGATATAGATAGATGGGTAAGGTAAGTTAGATAGATAGATTAGATAGAAAAAAGAAAGAAAAATAGATAGACAGATTGACAGAAAGACAGATAGAAATGAGGGATGCCAAACACTTACGTCTCCTTGGGCTGCAGGATACTTACTGAAGATGTGATCACGTTTCTTGCAGAGTGGCAGAGTGACCATCTTGGACTTAGAGTGTGGCTGATACACCCACGCTATTTATACTCTACAGACAATGAAACTCCCGGATGGGTGGAGTCCAAACGGCTACAGAACAGAAAAGCATACGCAAGAGTTTAAGCAATCTTCTTCTGTGGCCAGTCAAACATTCAGATAGTCATAACCTGGACAATGTCATTATGTAACTGCTGAATATCTTCTGGAATTCAGGCTAGAGGAGAGATCACATCCGGAGACATTCTTCCTTTTAGTGTACAGATTATCATCAAACACCATCAAACTTTCTACCCTTTTCATACATTCTGCCCTGGAAGCCTCAAGTTCTCACCCTACCCTTAGCTCAGCCCAATTCTGAATTCTGCTGTTTAAAATTAGGAAGTTCTGCTTAGCATTTGCAAGGAACCAAAATTCAAGCCCCAGCAATGAAACATGCTTTTAAAATTAAATTCTAAGAATGAAAAGCAAGTAAAAGAATCAGTGGTTTTTGAAACTCCTGTTGTAGATTTTTATTGAGCTTTATAATTGCCACCAAATAGCTATGAAGACTTTTAATTAAAAATTTTATTTTGCAGTGATGGGGATTGAATACTGGGCCTTGGTCCTCTACCACTGAGCTGCATTCAGGAAATGTCAACAATATGGTCACCTAAAAAGTGATGCCACCAGTTGATATGCCAGTATATATGGGAGAACTCTTATGAGGCTTCAACCTTAGAAGAAAAGTTAGAGACAACGGATCCTGAGAGGGAGAATCAGTCTTCTCCAGGGTCAAATCCTGATAGGTTAATCAATTCCAAGAGGGCATCCCTAAACACATATGAGTGTCATTAAATGAACTAAGCAGGTTATATTTATAAACCTATATACACATATATGTAAGAATTATGATTAGAGAATAAAGGCCATGAGTTTTAGGGAAAAAGAGGGAATATCAAGGAAGAACTGCTTGGCATAGATGGGAGAGGAAATTGATGTAAATACAGTAATCGCGTATGAAGTTTTCAAAAACGAAAAAGAACAAAAATGGAATCAAAGGTTTTGGCAGACAATGCATAAAACTAAAGGATTTCTATAACTCTCTTAAACAAATGTGAAACCCTAATGTAAAAAGAATGTTTCCCACCATCCTCCTATGAAACAATAGATCTCACTGTAAAACCACAGTGTATGTTTACAGAAAGAACTAACCCTTGGAATACAGGAGGCCAAGGACAGATTAGATAAAATAAGGCCTCTAAAAATCCAAAATAAACATGTAAGGAAATAGGCTTCTCCAAAGTCAACATAAATAAACATTAGAGGACACAGTTGTGGTCTCAGAAAGTGTATCCTAAGCACAATGCCAGAAAGCAGTTACTAATAAAGGGCTGCAGCGGTAGCTCAGTGGTAGGGAACTTGTTTTGCAAGCTTGAGGCTGTAGGGTCAATCCCCAGTACTGATAAAAAAAAATAATAGGAATTTTGTCAAAGGTAATCCTCTTTGGAGAAAATATTTGCACAGTCCAAGTTGAAGACAGTACTTGAATTTTGACATTCAAGCACATGAAAAGTGTATTTCACCGAAAGATCAGGAACTGTGGAGTATTTCAGACCCAGATGCCAGAAAGCTGTAATATTAAGAAAAATAAAGATATAGGTCCTTGAAGGTCTGGTCTCCTCATCATCTATAATTTTATTAATTTGGATTGTAACGCTCTATCTTTTTTGGTTAATTTGGTTAAAGGCTTGCCAGTGTTGCTCGTCTTTTCAAAGAACCAGATCTACATTTCACTTTTTCTTTGTTGTTGTTGGTTTTTTTCCCACTTCTATTTCAGCTCTGACTCTTACTATCTCTTCCCATTTACTCTTTCTGGGTGCTGTTTGTTCTTGTTTTTCTAAGGCCTTTAGTGGCATCATTAAGTTATTAATATGTGATGTCTCCAGTTTTTTTTATGTAGGCACTTAATGCTATAAAATATCCTTAAGATTTTTTGTATAGGGTTTCCTTTTAATTGCAACATTCTCTCCAAATTGAAACAGTTGGTCCTGGAAGGTAGGGGAGTCTTCACTCATGCAGGGAAATAACGTCCAAGTTGGCTTCATCTCCTATGAGACTCTTAATGTCTTCTGGCCCTAGGAAGATAGGTGTGAACTACCATGGCTGATATAAGTGTGTTGTTACTGCCTTCTGAGGTCTAGGTCTAGCAGAGACAATAGACATGTCACCGGAAACTGACAAACCAGAGTTGGTTGTTTGGGAAGAGAACACATAGATGGCTATAATTGAACATTTTGTATGAGCTTCTGTGATTAGGGACTGTGGTGGGTTTAGAGGGTGGCACACAGGTACTAATGGATAGAAAATGAGTTATAATTGGGGAAACGGCACACTGGGATGCTCAAAGAGGCCTTGGCCTTTGTCCAAGGTAACTCGAGTAGAAAATGGATTGGTGGGTTTCATCACATTGTTGCCAGGAGTTGGAGACAGGTGAGGACTTCTACCTGTGGGCTAACACTTCAGGGATTGAACTTCCTATTGCTTCTAGAAAGTGAGCATGTGCTGAGCCCAGTTGCACAGTAAAACAAAGCCACTGCTACGCAGCAAAGTGTTGAAGAAAAATATCCAAAATCATATTTTTCTTGCAAGCAGAGAGGTGAGCAATGCCTCTTAAAAACTGGTTTACTTGACTCTATGGGGAAATGTGTTAAAACATGCCTGCCTGGAGCACTGTGACTGAGTAAGTAGCTCTCAACATGCACAGGGCCGCAGATGGTCTTCACTGCCTGTTTAGCTTATGAATGCCCGTGTCGGTAATTAAATCTCTCCATCTTCTTGTACTTGGCCCAACTGAATCACCACAAGAGATCAGACTAAGGGTACAGAGCAGGACCAGGATCTTCCTCCTTAGGGGTGTTCACTGCACCCCACCCCATTCAGCTAATGTGGATATTGCGTCTGTATTTGTTATTCTCCAGGTTCAGAGTCACCAAGATTGTAATGAAGGCGTCAGTTTGGCTGCCCGTTCAGCAACTGGATCTGAGGCTGTGAGAATGGATCTACTGTGTTGAAACTTCAGTGGGGCAGCTCTTCTTGAAGTGCTGGCATTCCATTTCAGTTTAACCAACATTTTTCTCTGACTCACCTGTAATGTTGATATCATTATATTGTGAATAACTCAGAAATGATCCATGGGACATGCTAATTTTAATTTTACATTAACTGATAAGAATATGTGCTGTGCACACTTCCATGTTATAATCTATGATGTTTTAACTATAAAAGTCTAAGCAATAACTAACACAGGGATAGTGCAAGAGAAGCAATGTCATGATATAGTTTGCAGTACTCTGCTCTGCCAACATCTGGAGAAGAGGTCAGGTCAGAGATGGGCATGAGCTAGGGTGGTGTCTCCCCAGAAGAGGCATGAGCCTTTCTTACTTCATCACTGCACAATTGCTCTGATTCCTCACTAGCCTCCTGCCTCATCAGCCTCTTGCCTCACTTCTTCACAGGGAAGGGCACAGATACAAATCTAATTGCTTCTGTCCTCTGTGATGACTGCTTTCCTTGAAACCCTGGCATATCATTCCCACCTCTTGTCTATCTAAGAAGGCACCTGGAAAAATTGTCTTGCACTAGTCCTTGGTATCAGAGCCTTCAAGCTCCACGTCTGTTCTCAGATAGATCATTTATCTTGACCCCAGAGTCTTGCCTGAAACTCACATGTTGGAGATATCAGCAGCAAGATGAACGACAGTAGCCCAGATGCACCTCAGTCTCTCCATGCCACCAGCTCAGGTGCAGTCATGTTTATAGTTTAGAGGCTTTCAGGGTAGACAAGGGTGTAATGGACACATGGAATTGTGATGCCATCGCATTCCTCTAGGGAAGCCTTAGCCTCTGTGTCTGCAGAAGCCAGAGGCAGCCAGGTATTCAGCTTCACATACTCACAGTGTCCATGGTGCCAGTGGTAGAGCAGTAGTGTTAGAGGTAAGGGAAGAGCCTGCTACTCTGTATCACCCCCATGAGTGACCCAGCAACACAGTTCCATGAGCCTAGGCAGTAATGATGGCACTGCACTGATGGGCATCCAGATGTGGGTATGAAAGGGACCCATATCCTGCCTTGGCTTCTGGTTTTTATGAGAGAATATGTAAAATACAACTTTAAACCCAAAGTATTCTTTTCACTTTTATGTGCCTTTGAAAACTTTTAGTTGATAGACTGAGGGTATTTATTAAAGGGAAATTAACAGGAAATGTGAAGTTTACTTTTCGTCCAACCAAGGAAGAACCTAGAGTCATAAGGTATATTAAAAGGTACCAGGTGTGTATAGGTGTGTATGTGCGTGTGTGAATGCGTGCGTGCGTGTGTGTATGTGTGTGTGTGTGAGAGAGAGAGATTTATTAAAAATTTGGGGGATAATTTTGCATTCAAGTACTGTATTAGTGTCATTTCCATACCTCTTTCTCCTCTTCCAACTCCTATTCCCCCCTTACCCCTCAGTTCATAACCTCTTCTTTACATATCTATCTTTTTATATGTATATGTACACATATTCACACACATGTGACTGTTGGGTCCACTTAGTGTTGTTGTGTGTTTAGAGCTGACTCTTCAGATTGGATAACCAACCTATCAGGGGCTCCATCCCTGAGGAAGACTGATTATCCATCTCACAGCAGCCATTAATGACTCGTAGCTCTTCACCTGGGTTCAGGGGCCTTGTGAGAGGTCCCCTATTTACATTGCATGTCAACTGGTGTTGTCACTGTTGAAGGTATTATTTATGTGACCGTATTTTTAAGATTTCATAGGCACAGCTTCCCTGTCATGTATAGAAGGGACAACAGACCTCCTGGTCCTCTGTCCTTTTTTAAAAGGACAATCTTTTTAGTCCTTTACTCCTTTTCTTTCACACTTGGACCATCACCTGGAACAAGTTTTCTAGACACTCTGGGTTTTCTCATTCTTTCCCTGAAGGACCCCTGACCCCTACACCTGTTTGTCATTCAGCTGTTTGTCCTTTATGATCTCCTTGCGTTACTAAAAACACATACCTTTTTTTCTTCTCCATCTTCCTCCTCTAGTAAGATGCTGTGATTTAC